GTAACCGTCCGATGTACGGATATGAACAATAGAAGGATTAATAATCCACAATACATGACACACAGGTGTTCCACGTAAAAAAGGGAAAAATTCCGGCTAATTGTGAGCTAGTTGAAATATTTCATAGTCACACAAGGGGACAACAAAGAAATACAACATGTGCAAACGCGTTTTGTAGCGAAGCCAAACTACAATTAGACCAAAGCGTGTTTCGTGTGGCTACAGAGCGTAAGCGAATTTCCCATTGGTTGATATTTACCTTGCCCTGATTGGTCCAGTTCTCAACTAGGTCAGCTTTACTGTGCGGTTTTCTAGCCAATCAAAATTTAAGATTGCTATTTGCAAAGAAACAGTTGGATCGAAATAGCACTAAACGCGTATTGTTGTTCATAGTTCTGGCTATGATGATTTTTCTTCATCAATTAAATCCAATATGCAACTTGGTCAAATTTGTTTTCTTCAAAAGATACCGCTTCGTTGCCTCCATTAGTGGAATTGATCTGGGCAAACATAAATATGGCTGACAAACCGGTGGTGTCTCACACGTTGTACATCAGCTAGCTTGTAGTTGCGACGACGCAGACACGTAAGCATCGATCGTAACATCGGGAGACCGAACACATTTCAATGTTGTTGGTAAAGTCAATGATGTAAATCAAAACCGATGGCCAAGCGATCACAACTTACCCAGCGACCATCTGTTGTAAAATATCTCATGAGATCAAGAGATATATACATGTCCATACATTGTCTTTCAAATCACTGTTACATAAGCTCAATGCTAAACATTTGGCAATCAGTGAAGCATTACTTATTCGATTATTTCTTTCGATTTTATGTACACAGGTTTCTGACACAAACAATTCGCTTACTATGGAGTAGACTTTATTGTTTAATGTTTAGTGATCTTTGTCTGGTCGTTTATCATAACTGATCAACCTGATGTGTTCTGTATAAGCAGATATATCATCTCACACCAGGTGGCTCAAATACGATCGATTTGCAAATAATAATGAGTCTTTATAATAAACCACACACTACAACTGGGTCCTTCTCAATGATTCTTGGCCCTGAAGTTTACTTGGCTGCATGTTCGGATTTACTTCCATGTTCAGGTGCACGTTTTTAATTACCGACTCATTTACCAAATGCACGTTACTGTAACTTATTGAGGTCTTAGCTGCCAGGTTAAATTCGACTGATCATTTCGACCGGTTTCACAGAATCGCGCTCATTTCGAGTAAAATGTGCTGGATTCTAAAAATATGTGAGCTATAGTCACATAGCTACCTTCCATCGGCTTGCTTACTACTAGTCACACGCAGAATCGTATGGCATGCCCATATATACATGAAAATTTACAGGACCGGGCGATATCACTTCAAGTTACTCTACCATCATGTCAAAAGTCCTCATAACAAACCGCGATAGCAAGGAACTTTGATTAATTGGGTGTATATACATACATCTTTCTATTCTTAAAAAATACAAGAAACTAACAGATGAAGAATATAGACGAATCAAACCCACAGAAGGTCCCACACTACAGTTCTATGGGCTACCGAAAGTGCACAAACCTCATATACTATTACGACACATTGTCACATTCACAAAAGCACTCAACTGCCATCTTGCAAGCTACCTCTTCCAGCTAATGTATCCATCCCTACGTACAAACCCAAATGATACAAAAAATCTCACGGCATTCCTGTAAAGCATCAAAGAACTAATGATCAAGTCAGACGAAGTGATGGTTTCATTCAACGTGACCTCACTGTTTACCAAAATACCCAAACAAATGGTCAGCAAAATCATTCGATGCTTGCTGCAAAACAATCAAAATTTGCCACCCAGAGCGTGAAGAAAATTGTGAAAATCACAGAGCTGCTTGCGGAAACCTACTTCAAATTCAACGGGAATGTGTACCAGTAGATATGAGGAACTCCTATGCGTTCGCCACTCGCAGATCTGCTGGTGGATGCGGTTATGAAGCACTTTGAAGCCTGGGATTTTGTAATTCTATGACCAAGTCTGTGGATACGGTATTTAGGATGACACATTCATCATACTCAGAGCTTCCACGGTAGATCAGTTCCACGAAGTTATCACCAAGTGGGTGCTCGGAAACAACTTTACATAAGAGGGAGAGAGAGAGACGGACAACTTTCCTTCCTCAATATTCTTCTCAGGAGGCAACTTGTCGGAAGAATATATACGCTAGTCTGCTGAAAACCGACCACGACAGATCGCAATATCACTTATAACACCAACCATCGCGCCTGAATAATTGTGCGCCAGCTCTATTCCGCCGAGCAAACACACTGAAGCACACCGGAGCTATGGACAAGAGAAAGAAGTCGACTCTTTCAACTTTTCTTATCTGGCGCATATCACAGGAGCGTTATCAACGCCCGCATCAGTGTTCAGAAGTAAACATCACACACGAGAGAGGGAATATGAATAACGTTACCCCACATACGCGGCACGTCAGAAGCCACCTAACGTGTACTCCGACCGCTGGGAAGTTCATAAACCAGGAGCTACTGCGAGATTATGTAAGCAGCAATTTTCGAAACCTCCGAGCGATGAATATCTTCTACTGGTGTAGGATGTGGCTTTCCAACCTCAGTTATCTTTGGAAAGCTACTATCATTAGTCACGCAACTACCCAAGTATGAGAAGCATTCAACTTCGGCTGATTCCTGATAGTCTCAATTCGGAACGGGATTCGGCCAAACCCAGTCTTTCTTTGCACTTCAAAGGAGCAAAGCCTATGCCGGAAAACGAGAACATGCTAATCTCTCAAGTGCGCTTTGAGCAACCTCCATACATTCAAAAATAAAAAGCATGTCGGTGGCGAAACAAATCGCATGGCTTTCCTTGAGCTACCCATTCAAAACCAAAATTTTGCAGACCACTTTGTGCTTTCGCCAGTATATCGTCCATGACGAAACTGAACAGAAAATGCAAAATGGGGCACCCATGACGAACATCGCTGCTAGTAGCGAACGGCCTACTCTGCTAGCCGTATACCCTCACGCCACCAGAAGTATGTGGGTAGAGTGTCCTCAGTATGTTCACATACTTCTGCTGCGATTTTTTGCAAAGATTAGAACCCATAAAGGTATTATGGTGAGCTGAGTCGAAGACTCATTTTATGTCAAGGCACACGACAACCGTTAGTTGACGGTGCGTATGGCGTAGCTCGAGGACTTGACGCAGGGTGAAGATTTGATCAGTACAACTGCGACCTGGTCGAAATCCTGCTTGTTGTTCGCGGATGTTTGTCTCCCTAAAGGGTGTCAGACGTCGAAGTTTAATGGAGGCTAGTAACTTGGTGATGACTGGGATCAAACTTGTTTCACAGTGGTTCGCGCAGTCGATGCGAAGTCTCTTCTTAAAAGATGGAACAACTTGTGTTTCGCTGCAAGATGTTTAACAGTAAATCAGTAATGGAATCTAAGAGGTTATCACTCCCCATCTTGAAAAGATTGGGAGGCAGCCCGTCAGGTCCTGCTGCTTTTTCTTTCTTCAAGGCTTGGGTGCAAGATAGTCTTTCTGCTTCAGTAGGAGGTTCATACGAGAGAATGCTAACGGAGCCTCGGCTACAACAGGCAAGGTAGTCTAGTTATCACCTGAACAGCTGAAATGTTCGTTGAAGTACTCCGCCCATCGCAGGAGCGTTGTTCCCTATAGTGAAAAGCTTGGTCACTTTTGTCGCAGACTCTTTCACTACCTGTGGTTCGTCAACCTCCAGCGTTGCGTACCAGCTGGAACAGTCTTTGATTATTCCCTGATGCAGCTGTTACTCGTATTTCATTAGCTATCGTTGCCCACCAGTTCTCATGGTCTTTTTTGAGGCTCTTCTTGAGTTGACGTTACAGAAGTCACCTAACCCTGTTTTGATCCCGGGCGGTTGGGATTTGCCGTTTTTCTTCATCAGATATCCAATGCTTCTGACGAACTGCCGCTTCAAATTCAAAAGCAAAATTCGCTGTGGAGCTCATTGCTTTTCCAATCTGATCCCATTGTTCATCTTACTTACCACTCTGCAGCGCGTTTAGCTCTTTCCCTAGTTCTGAATCAAAACGGGCGTGAACGGCTGGGTCAAATAAACGGTGATCTGCCAATCGATTTTTGTGGGATTTTCTGCAACCAATGAGTTGGAGTGTATGAAAACTAACTAGGTTGAACGGAAGAAGCATATTGGGACCTGCAGTTTTGTACTGAGCCACGCCAAAGGTCGCTTATTGTTATGAGTTCGGTTTGAGTTAGCATACTATTCTAATTGGAGTGCCACGTTGCTGTCCGTTGACAGCTGCATTGGAAGTTGGTACTGAATAGAAGCGGATAATGGTCCACGCAGAACCGAAGAGGTAGATAGCCTTTATCTGTTAGTTGGCAGGGTAGAGCACAGCGACCAACTGGGCAAGCTTCTGAAGCGCTCAGTTTTCCTACGTGCGCGTTAAAGCCACCTGCGAGCACAACTTTATCAGAGCTTCGGCTAAACCAAATAAGTTCAGTCAGTTTGTCATGGAACTCGTCTTTTTGTGCGTCAGAACTGCACTACTGATTGCAACGCCTACACTACGTTGGCCTACTGACTGAACGTCATCGTCGTCTGAAGTACGGAGGAGGTACTCCAAAGACAAATCTGGTGCACTTTTAAAAGTTAACCTGCATATAATCATTGGCGCCCCCAACCATACTAGTACTTATCCACTTTTATCATTGGGTATGACAGATCTTTGTCACTCTCTCACAAAAGGTAACTTTATACTGGACAGAGTAGTTGTCAATCACCCAACCCTTTTCTCTTTAGCACTAAAAACATGTATTTCCTCTAGTGACCATTGCGTACACTTAGGTCGCATTCCTGTTCCGGTCATCGGACATTCTTCCTGCCTATTCGTCACAAAATGTTTGTAACGTGGAAATATTCTTATATCTTGATGTATAAAGCTGCAATTCGTCTTCTGCTGTAGGCCCAAATGACTTACATTCGGCCCTCTTCAATTTTTGTGCTGCTTCCCTAGCTGGGGCAATTACCTTCATTGTCAGTGAATCTCTTAATTCTTCTACTATACCCGACTGTTGGAGGTCGGTCACAATCATATCAATCCCCAAAGCACCTAAATCCTCTATCCTCTCCAAACGTTTTTGCCCCATAGCATTAACATCCTCAGCTCTTAAATTGACTGGAAAGGCCATCCTCAAATGGCTTCAGCAATCTATAAGCATTCCCAGTGATCCGTTACAGTTTGCTTACAAGCCAAATATATTCAATTTGGACGCAGTCTCCACCCTCATTCGTTTTATCACTAAGTCTTTGAATAGCTCTGTTAGGTC